TATATATATATATACTAGGTAAAACAGTATGAAGTGTGACAATATAACTAAAGATACTAACAGTTAATAAAGAGTAAAATCACAGACAGAATATGCTCAGTACATAGAGGTAGCAATAAGGGATCTCCCAGGATATCGTCCCCTAGTCCCAAACGTAAAGTTATAGAGGATCTCCCGAAATATCGTCCCGTAGTTTGGATCATAAATATGTTGGGGAAACTCCCGGAATACAAATCCGTAGTCCCAAAGTAAATATCCAATACGAATAGGCAGGGAGGAATCTCCCACGTGTCGTCCCGTAGTCCCAAACATAAAAGTGCAGGGAAGATCTTCCGGAATATCGATCTGTAGTCCCAAATTAAACACGTAGGGGGGATCTCCCGGGATATCGTCTCGTAGTCCCAAAGTAAACACACAATAGTCTCAGAAAGAATTTACAGTTCTATTCAAGTTCATACTAAGAAAACAGAGATTTTTATCCTAAACATGTTGCACATAATTCAAGTAGACAGTTTAAGTAGATAATAGAGTTAAGTCACTTAAGCATGCTTTCCTAAGCTAAACAGTAGGCTTTAGTATAAGTAGTGTTTAACAAGAAAAGGAAATGCAGATATTTACTTAATGAAAACATGATTTTCAACAATTAGCACGTGTACGCACTCGTCACCTCACGTACACGACACTCATATAACAACAGAACCAAAATCCTAAGGGGAGTTCCCACACACAAGGTTAGAAAATTCACTTACCTCAACCAGCTTAAATCAATTCGAAATCACATTCTTGCCACGAGTACCCGACTCCAAATGGCCCAAATCTATTCAAATTAATTACATGATGTAAATATAACTTCAAGTAACTAATTATTTCGAAGCTAACATGCGAAATTAAGAAAATCGCCCAAAAAGTCCCTCCGACCCCCCCACGCCCCGTAATCGGGTAAAATTTATAAATTATGAACACCCGATCACTCATGAGCACACTCGAACAAAAATCATCAGAATCCGACGTCAAAATCCCACTCAAAACTCGGATTCTCAATTGGGGAACCTTTCTCCCATTTTCAACTTTTATCCCCCAAATTCCTTAATTGAAAGAGGAAAACATCAATAGATTATAGTTCTAAGATCAAAATCAAGTTAGAAATCGTTATCCAATGATCCTCCTTCAAAACACTCAAAATATCGTCTCCCACTGAGCTCTAATTCGATTTTTTTGTTATGAAATCTAAAAACCCTCGAATTTTCTATATCTGCCTAGCAATTTTCGCTTCTGTGGTCATGGGACCGCACCTGCAGTCCCGCTTCTGCGGCTGGGGATCGCACATGCGAGTTTTCATTAAATAGCCATAACCTGCGCCTACGCTGCTTTCTTTGCAGATGTGGTCCGTTCCTGCGGTCCAATAACCGCATCTGTGCTCACTAGCCAACAGTGCCAGAATTGCACCTGCGACTCACTCCATCGCATCTGCGGCTGCGAAAATACCAGAAGCAGAAACCTTCATATTTTGCCTAAGTCCAAAATCACCTCCATTAAGCATCTGAAACTCACTCGAGACCCCTAGGACCTCAACCAAACATACCGACCAATCCTAAAACATCATACGGACTCATTGCTACCTTCAAATGATATCAAACAATGCTAAAACTATGAATCACCCTCCAATCCAAACCTAAAGAATTTGAAACTTCAAGAAACCTACAACCGATGCTGAAACCAACCAAACCAAGTCCGATTGACCCAAAATTTTGCACACAAGTCACATTCAACGCTACAGAGCTATTCCAACTTTAATCGGATTCCGACTTCGATATCCAAATCTCACTATCGATCCGGAAACTTCGAAAATTCAACTTTCGGCATTTCAAGCCTAAATAAGCTACGGGCCTCCCAATCACAATCCAAACACGCTCTAAGCCCGAAATCACTCAACGGAGCTAACGGAATCGACGAAAAGTGCATTCCGAGGCTGTCTTCACACTGCTCCGACTACGGTCCAAATTCTAAAGCTTAAGCTCTCATTGAGGGAGTAAGTGTCCCAAAACACTCCGAAACTCACAATGAATCATCCCGGCAAATCAAAGTAGTTGAAGCAAATACGGGAAAAGCAGTTAATAGGGGATCGGGGCGTAAATTCTTAAAACGATCGGCCAGGTCGTTACATGACCGGGCGTGCTTTTTATTGCTTTTTGTATGGATATTCCGGTTATAACCAAATCCGTAGTGCTCCTGAGGACCAAGAGAAGACCACTTTCACTTGTCCGTATGGTACTTTCGCATTCTCGCAGATGCCTTTTGAGATGGCGAATTTTCAATGGTGTATAATAGTTTTTGCCCCTACTTTATTTCTTTTTTTGCTTAGGTTCCTATATTTAATTTGGTAGATATATTAAACTTTGATCCCTCCAAAAAAGCTTGAAAAGTTGTAAATGATGATGAATAATTATGCACAAGAATAAATCTAAAATGCTAATAACAACAACCTTGAAGAACTTATTTGATACTGGGAGAGTGCTTTGTCGATCAAATCTTCATAGTAATTCTAAAATTATAATTAAATTTCTCTTCCATCTTATTTTTAATAGAAAAATTATTTTAGAAATATAAATTTAGATTTTGTAATTTAACACAATATGCAATAGAAAATAAATTTCCAATTTTTTTAAACTTAATAGATTAGAATCTAGAAAATAAAATAAAAAATATTTAAATTTTATCCAATTTACTTAATTAAGTGGGGATAGAACACAGGAAAAATGAGAGGTGCTTAGCAAGTGATCAACTTCTAGTCTCACATTTATTAAATACGGTTGATGGCTACATGCTACTGAAACAAAGATATTTTTTTTCTTAAAATAATTTAATTTGTCAAAAATCATGTAATCCTTAATTGGTTGGGGAGCGAAATTTTCTTTTAAAAATAAAGCATTAATGAGTTAATGACAAACTAAGTTAATTCTTGAATTCTGTTTTAATAAATTTGGGTCTTTCTGAATTTCATCTAAACCTAGACTTTAATCACCATATTTTTTCTAGCATAAACGATGGTCATATGAAATTATGAGTAGTTAGTCAATAAATACCAAAATAATCTATTAAAATATCTTCTTCTTCTTTTTTCTACTTCTAATTAGAAATTTTATGCTCACAAATTCATAAAATATAAAAATATCTTCTTTAATCTGTGATTATATTCCATTTGGAATCATTTTGCATACTTTAAATTATGCTACTAAATATCAAGTTACTTTGTCCTTTTGATATATTTACTTATTCCTTAGCATGCTTGCTTTCTTATAAATATTTCTTTTAATAAATTATCTAATGATATGATCAGAAAACATAAATAATGAATAATAAACGATTAAGATGCGATGATGTTAAAAAAGTTGTGCATAAAAACGTAACACAAATTATTATTATTATTAAGTAAAACCATTATAATTGACTTTAGTGCTTTGATCTTGGGCTCGGGCTCACCATGGGTAAACAATAATAAACTTATAACTTTTGCTCCATTTTTATCAGATTTATGGTTAGTAAAAACGAAGACGACACGACGAATATAACAATAACAATAACAATAATAATAATAATAATAATAATAATAATAATAATAATAATAATAATAATAATAATAATTGATTTTTCTTTCCAAATTGTGTTTTGGATCTTCTCAATTCACTTACGTAAAGAATAATGTTTGCTGCCGAAATTTTAACCGTTACCTCTTGGAGACTTGACCGCTACTTCGATCTCGCTGAAGCTGATGGCCGGCTCTCTCAACTCCGATTCCACATTTTCCCGGCGACTTCACGGCGAGATCTTTAATCACGTTAATTCCACCTGCACTCCAAATTCTTTCATAGGTATGCCAGTTTTATTTGCTTCAATTATGCACTTTTTTCTTTTTTTTTGGAATCAAAATCGGATTTTCTTTTAATTTTGTGAATGTGATTTTATTTCAGTCAAACTTGTTGAATGTTAGTTGTAGGCTAATTGTGATTTTTCTTTAACCATATTGCTGAATATTTGAATTTGGCGATTCGCATGATTACTGCGTTTAGTTAAAATACTTATGTTTTGGCAATTTATTCAGGTGGTGATGCTAGTTTAGTTTAATTTCTATTAATTGGCATGAATAACTTTGTGAAATAAAAGTTATTAGTAGAAAATGTGAAGACACTATGATTTTTGTAGTAGAAGAGAAATTATTGGGTATTAGAATGAAAAGTGTTCTGATGGAGCTGAATGGATGATGAGGGTTCATAGAGTTAACCTCAACTAGTTCGGGATTGAGACATAGAAGTGGTAATAATTCTTGTTGTATACTTGGTCTGATATCTTGGATATTGATCAGTGGGACAGTATGAGCGGTGTGATTAGAGGAAGATATCAGAATAGAGGCAAACCTAGAATGGCGTTCGAGTGTTTCCCTGTGAGATTTAGCTGCTACAGGTAACTTGTGAATTTTCTTCTTCGCAGAGCACCAGCTAAATGAAATGAAACCGATCTTTTAGCATCACCTTCACAGTTAAGCATTCACCCATTTTCTCTCTATCTCAAAACAATTCATTATTTTCTATGCAAACTCACTGTAATGGGAAAAACTGAAAACAGTTACTAAAAGTGATCGCTCCACTCCGCTCCGCTTAAGCGAAAGAGCGATGCAAAACCATCATTTATCGTAGGTGCAGTGATAAGATTTTATAGAGGGCAATGCATTTCAGGTTGAAATCACAAGTAACCACAGATTAGCATGCTGCGGGGAATATTTACTCTTGACTCAAGAAATGAAAACCAAGCTTTGTCAACCAGACCCCCTTAGAAATTATGAGGCCCAAGGTAATACACTTGAAAAGAGAAGGATGTTCTTCTTTGGATGACTTTAAAAGATGAAAATAAAAGAGATTCTAGAATATTAGAAAATCAAAGCTCTTTGATATATGAGTTACAGGAATCTTCTCCTTACACTTAAGTATTCTCGTCCCCCACTTCTTATTCTGCTCCAATTTTGAGATGACTCCTTTTCTACCTCTATAATTTCTTCGCTTCTCTTGGTTTGATTTTAGAAGAAGAGAATGTACAGCGTGGAATGTAGACTCACTAGCACTTATGTGGGTGCTTTGGAGGGAAAGGAACAGATGAACTTTGAAGGGATGGAATATGATCTTGCACAGATTAGGACATCTCTTTTGTTTTTGATAAGTTTTTAGTGCACCCGCGAGATCTCAATTTGTGTAGAGAATTGATTGTCTTTTGTAGACATCCATATTTTGGTGTAGATTCTTTACTTCTGATGTACTACCATACGGGGTTTCATTACCCCCAAAACATCGATGAAATATTACCTTACCTTTTTTTCCCCTTGGTTTGACTCTTCTTCTTCGCTATGATGTCTCTTTCTTTTTCCTATCCTGTGCAAGTCTCCTTCTTCCTCTTCTTCTTATGGTTTTCTCTTCTCCATCTCTCTTATACTCTCTCTTGCTATAGTTCTTTTTCTCCTTTTCTTGTCTGCTTTCTGCTTTGTTTTCTATTCTCCAATTATGGATTTTATAAACGGATTGCATGGAAAATAAAAGGCGACTCTTGCTAAAGCTGATTATTTGTATACTTACTTAAGTAATCAAATTATGAAATTAAAGATACAAGTAATTCTTTTATGTCTGGTTAATTGAATATTGAAAATAAGTTTTGCAGTTGAAGTATACTTTGTGTGGGTTTTTTAAAAGCACATATTAATGATGTTAAATTTGAGTTGTTGGAATTAATGTTGTCATTACTTTATGTTGATGCTGAGATTAGCGGTGTTAATTGCGATGTTAATGGTTAAGTACAATTTTTTTTTTTGTTGCTAAACGAAGACATTTTATTGAAAAGTAAAGCTAGTTATTACAACATGGAATTGAATGAAAAGTTATAGTTCCTTAAGAGTCTTGTTCTAATTGCGATGAAGTAAAGTTTGGAGGGAGATCAAAGATTACCGAAATCCTGCCTATTTTCATAGGCTAATGTCTTTCCTAATCCTGTCAGTAAATCAGCCACACCATTACCCTTTCTGTAGGTGTGGCAAATTTCCAGCATTCGGAGTTCATTCAGCAGCGACCTGCAGTCAGAAAAATATGAGTATCTGATTTCCACTATGAATAAGCATACAATTTTATATATGCATGATGCTTTTTTTTTTTTTTTTTTTTTTTTTTTTTTTTTTTTTTTTTTTTTTTGTATTTTCTGAAAATTTATGTTTCACTTTGAAGAAGCTTGCACTTCACTTTTTGCTTAAAGTTCAACGAGTCTTCTTGCTTTTATGTGCTTTAAGCTCTAATGTTAATGTGTTATTGTTTAAACAGTAGCTTCTTGTTTTTTTTTGGTATACCTTTTTCCCTATCCAGTCTTGGGATCTTGGAACACCTGCTCTTTAGCTAATGTACAAGTCTAGTTGTACTTTTTCTGTGACATCTTTGTTTGTTGCTGCTAGTATTTTAACAGGAACAGTTCTTTGAAAACATGGGCACTGAATATCCTAATGGTCCTGCCATTCCCTCGAGGCCTGTTTCTGCCTTTAGTGTTGCGCAAAGTTTAACACTCTTTCAATCATCTGGCCCTGTGGTTGGATCCGAAGCTTCTGCATTTCGGCATGCTTCTCCTAGTTCTTCCCAGATTACGTCTCCTTCCTCTGCATCTGGTGCCATGGTTGGAACTGAGGCCTCTGCTTTTAGAACAATGTCATCAGGTATGCCTAATGATGCAGCTAGGCCACCTCCAACATCTGCATCTCTATATGGACCACCAGCTGCTGGCCCTTACCAACGCTTTCCAGCACCACAGTTTTCTTCTACAGCTGGGGTACCTCCACCACACACTTCACTTGCAGGGCAACCTGTTTTACGACCGTCAGTTAGACCCGTTTCAGGTCCCTTCTCAACATCTCATGTTTCCCTTAATCCCCATATCCAACCTCCTCATGTTCCGATGGGATTCCCCCCTCAAAATGCGAGCATGGTGCAACCCGGTGCAGTTGTTCCTCGGTCACCTGTAGATACCCAGTTTTCTGCTGCCAGGGCGACCATGCATCCATCTTCACCACCAGCAGGTCCAGCTTATCCTGCTGCCAGACCCGGCTTTCAATCTGCTTTTCCAGGGTATATGAGTCATCAAAATACAGCGGGCGCACAGGCTCAACCAAGACAATCTTTAGCCTTTCCTTCTCAGCAAGGTGGTTATGTTCCGACAATGGCAGCAACATCTAGCCCCTATCTTGCCCAACAAGGAGGCTATGCAGCTCCACCATCAGTAGCATCTCAACTGGGTAGCTCAAGGGAACAAATGCAGCATCCAGGGTCTACACCTCCTACGGCAGTTATGCAGGGTTTAGTGGAAGATTTCAGTTCCTTCTCTATTGGGTCTGTTCCAGGATCATTTGATCCGGGGCTTGATTCTAAAGTTCTACCAAGGCCATTGGAAGGTGACCTGGAACGGAACCCTTTGTCCGAGATGTATCCGATGAACTGTAGTTCAAGATATTTGAGGCTAACGACTAGTGGCATTCCAAATTCTCAGTCCTTGGCTTCAAGGTGGCACTTAACTCTTGGAGCAGTTGTTTCTCCTCTTGCTGAAGCTCCTAATGGGGTTTGTATCCATGAAATGTAACAGTTACATATTTGATACTGAAAGATTTATTTCGTTGTGCAAATCTCTTATTGCTCTATCTGCAAAATTTCTTTATTCAGGAAGAAGTTCCAGTAGTTAATTTTGCCCCAACTGGCATCATACGGTGTAAAAGGTGCCGGACTTATGTAAATCCCTATGTGACATTTAGTGACAGTGGAAGAAAGTGGCGATGTAACTTATGTGCATTGCTTAATGATGGTAAGTATTGTCAACTCCTCAGTATTGATTCCGCTCTTAAATCTCTTCTCTATTACATTTTTTAAGCTGTATCGTCTGATTTTGGTGTGCTTAAAAGTGCTAATATTGTGTAGCAAAAACAGGTCAAGTCCACCAATATTTTATACTCCCTCCATTTCAATTTGTTTGAACCTTTTCGGAGTACGAGGGTCAAGTTGCCTAATTTCAGTGTGAATTCAGACATAGATTCTTTAAGCTGTTTGAAATATAATGCACATATTTAGAAACTACATAAAAAGTACTATAAGCCACAATAGTTAACAATTCAAAATATGTAAAAACTATTTGCAAAAAATACGGTCAAAGAAATTTTGTTTGACACTTTGGGTCCCCAAATAGTAATAGGTTCATTCTTTTTGAAACGAAGGGAGTAACAATTCTAAGTGAACTTCTGTTTGTACTTATCGGCTTTCCAAAATTAGGTAGGACGGAAGGAGTGGGGGGTGAAAGAGAGTGAGAGAGAAGTGGGCTTAATGGAAATGAAGCGTCACACCCTTCTACACTTATGACTTTGTGTACATGGGTTATGGGAATGCAAGGGTTGCAATGTCACAAGATGACCTTGATTTAGTAACTGTAGATACTCTCAGATCTATGGAGCGAATTCAGAGATAAATTTAAAACTAGTTAAACTAAGAGGCTTTTTTTTTCATGATGTTGCCTTACATATTCTAAGTAGGTATTTTCCACTTATTTGCATCTTTTGTTAGTCTTTCTTCAGCTTTTCACTCACCTATTATTGAAAATGCTGCTATATGTTAAAACTCAACCAATGGCCTCTCTCTATTTGTGACTGCTGAAGTGGTCATGGCCTGATATGCTAGTTTGTTAGGTTAACATCTCAGTGTATTTTCATATTGATGTTCCATTCCATGTCAAACCTTCCAGCTGGGTAGCAGTTGTGTTTTTTTTTTCTTTTTAAACTTGCAGATTTCTCTCTTCGCTACCGTAACGTATATAGGTGTAGATTCACTTGTCCTATTTTGAAGTGCATTGGGTCATCATTCTCTTTATGTCCAGTTCCTGGCGAATATTTTGCCCATTTGGATGCCAGTGGCAGAAGAATCGATTTGGATCTAAGGCCTGAACTTACCCAGGGGAGTGTGGAGTTCATTGCTCCCACTGATTACATGGTCCGGCCTCCAATGCCTCCACTTTACTTTTTCCTCATCGATGTATCTGTATCTGCTGTGAAGAGTGGAATGCTCGAGGTATGCATTTGTGTTGTAGTTATCAAGCTTTGCAATTTGCATCTAACTGAAAAGCATGTCAGTCCAGACTTTAATTCACTTATGACAACTTATCGTCCTTGTATTCATTTTGCTCACTAACTGATGCTCATATTATAATACCCAATAAATATTGGAATGCCTTTCCGGAAGCAGAGGAATATATGAACCTGAAACATATAGGTTTAGTCACAGGGACTTCTCTGTTCTTTTCTTGGTTAATTAATTTTTGCTCAATTTTCAATGCTTAGTTATTCTTGAGGTCAGCTAATTCTTACTCTTTTCTTTTCTAAATTTTTTGGGGTAGGGTTGGCCCTGTGAATAACTGGGTTGGGGACGGTAGAAGAGGAAAGGCCTTTGGTGGGATTAGAACCCTATACCTAAGTACTTATTAATAAAAGGAAGAACCCTATACCTAGGTGATGCAAAGTGGAGTTGTAACTGCAAGGCTGAAATCTCAATCTCTACAAATTTCTCTTTGTAATGGCTACTGGATGCAATTTCTCCAGGTTAAACAATCAAAGCTTCATAGACATATTTACTTTACTCTCTTTCTTTCTTTTTTTTCCGGGTAAGAAAAGGTGGGCATGAACCCACCAAAACAACAATCTATGCATATAACTATATACGAGACTCCTATAGAGTCATGAATCAGCCAGAAGCCTAAGCGAGGTTCAGCAAGAAATTGGACACCTGGGCCGAAACAGTAAGCGAAGTGAGACAGAAAATCTACTGAGAAGTTTGTGTCACGACCCATTTTCTGAACAAGCTGGGACCGGCACTCAATCACTAAGCATGACCGAGCGAACCTTCTCTGCTTATCAAATCTATTATAACTCCAAACTTTACATGCAATAGGGCAATACTCTAACCAAATACTTTTGATTAATTTAAACATTTAAATAAATCAACTCCAAAACTTTATTCATAGTAACCAATGAAATACTGCTAAGTTATTATCAAAAACATCTGAATCTTAACCCAACGACTATGTCTATGAAGCCTCTACTAATAAACTGACGCACTGCTCAGGACATGAGATTTCCTGGCCAGTTCTCTAAGTAACCAAGAAATAACTAAATAAAGATGACTCTAAGGAATACTCCACGAACAAAAGCGAAGTTCACCAATAGCACTGGAAGAGAAAGAAGTCCTAACTCGTAGCCTGCTCTCCTGCAAATCCGGTTCCTACGTTGTACCGCAGACCAACGTAGGTTCCCAAAAGAGAACGTCAAGTACCATCCATTGTACTCAGTGAGTCTCAACAACAGGGGGCGAAACTTTAATAACATATACATTATGAGCAAGGGTTCTAAATGCATGTAAAACATAAAGCTTATAAGAATAATTCTAAATAATTGCATAATGGCAGATTATGAATATTCTAAAAGAAATTCTTTTTCTTTTTCTTTTTTATAAAAAAAATACTTCACTTTATACTTTGGGAGTTCCAACTATCCTGACTTAATTCTGTCTCAGTCACCGTGTGATCGGCACGGGTTCGATCCCAACCTGATCGAATAGGCCCAATCCACGAGGTGCCACTCGCTTCATGGTTCTCAGCGTTCATGTATCATGCCTTAGCATGGCTAAGTAAATTCTCAGCAACGAGACCCTCGGCTCGTGTGCTCCCTACTTTGGCATAAGTAGTTTCAGGAAGTCAACGCCTTGGTCAGGACCCTTGGCCTGTACGATGACCCCTTCTCAGAATAAAGGACACTCCCAAAAATCTTTTCTTTTTAAAACTTCTTTTTGTGACTTTGCAAGTCTAAATCTTTTCTTTATAGAACATCATGTACATGCTCATGCTGGTATCCTTAAATGTAAAGCATGGCATAAGAATGAAATAAACATGTAAAAGTATTTCTAAAGATTCTTTCTTCTTCATAAATTTTCAACATGAAAATAACATATATGAATAACACAAAAATCTGAAAATTTAAGCACATATATCATAATAAATCATCTAAACTTTTGCTAGAACAATTCTAAGTTAATAGGTACTCACTCGCTCCAATTAAGTAAATATAAACTCTTTTAAGCAATTCATCAAACACCTTGTATGCGTGCTTTTGTGAGTTAAACCACTTTAGTAAAGGGTTATATCAACTCACCTCAAAACTTCTCGAGCCAATACGTAGGCCCCAGTCCAATTGACACCAGTCAAACAATTGATTCTACAATAGCCAGTGCATTTTAATCAATTTTAAAGTTTCACACCTAACACATGAAATCTATTGTTGATATGGAGAAAGAAGGGAATTAACTATTCAATTCTTACCTATTACTACTATAGAGTAATTGATAATAGGAAATTTTTATATACCTTAGTCCAAGAATAAGTGAGTTGTGAAGAACCCTATATCTTCTTTCGTGAAAATTTCTGGCTGCCTTCGTTCGTGATTCTGTGCGTTTGTGTGTTCGGCTCTCTCTAAGGCATTAAGCCTTTATTTGATCCCTTCCAACCCTTAAGTCACGTGACTTTCTTTCTGATTAGTTGCTTTCTCTTTTATTTTATTTTTTTTCTTTTTCTTTTGTTTTTCTTTAACTAATAATTAATAATACCCACTTTTAAATAATTTAGTAACACTGAAATTATTAATATATTATTAATATTCCTCTAATTGTATATTCAGTTATTTAAGTGTGTGTGTGTGTGTGTATATATATATATATATATATATATATATATATATATATATATA